ATTCGGAAGTTAAGATTAGTAGGGACGATATTGTGGACGAATCGAAATCTGCTTTTCTTGAGGGCGGAAGGGTCTTTTACTTTGCTTTCGTGGGCTTTTTGTTCGCCCGCCGGTGGGTAGCACATGTTGTGATATAACAAGGGCTTCTCTGACTACCGTTGTAGCGCTTGGTACCGCATTATCATTCCTCATTCCCAGCATCATTACCGTCGTCTTTGTCGTCTTATGTATTATCGGAAGCTTATCTTTGACGGAGGGGGAGATAACTCAGCTCAAAGTTGATGAGGTGTTACTCAACCTCGGCTCTGCAGACTCTACGGTGAGAGCTGGAGGTTCGTAGGGGACACCACTGTCAGGTGTTGAGAATAGTCCCTCTGGGCAAACTATTTATAATATGTGCGAGCGGACCTACACACACCTTTGTTGTGAAACTGAGTGTAGCCAAAGGCGTGCACGGAAAACATCATCACATAGAGCAGTTGCACTTTCCCCCAAAAGTCAAGGGAGATCAGTTGGGAAACGAAGATACTCAGGGTCATGTATATTAGGATGTGTATTCTCTCTCTTCTATTGAGGCTTTGTCATTTAGTGATGGAGATGAGGTAGAGGTTTATGGGTCACGATGTATGAGATAAGTGGGATGTGGGTGTTTTAATTCCTTACTACAGTGCGGACTCGTTATTAAGATACTCGCCTTCTAACGATATCTTCTTCGCGCATGCGTGACGTTCTCATAGTAAATATAACAAAGCAACGATACTCGATATACGATTCACCGATGTTGCCCGGGCCATTCTATCGTTATATCGAATAACTGTCACACGATGTAACCACTGTCGTTGGCTGAAGCCTAATCATATTTAGTTATGTGCCTAATAGTCAAGGCATATATAAGTGTTTCCTAGATTAATTCCAAGCATGTCATGCACTTCCCCACACAACCCATTAGGCCTGGTAGAAGTCTGGATCCACCTCCTGTAAATCTATTCTTAAATAGCGACTAGGATTACAGACACGACGACGAGAATAGAATAGAATAGAATTAAATTTAAGTCCCTACTGAGTCTAAGACTATGAAGGACTGCTAAAAGTAGACATTAAACCACCAAAATTCACTTGTTTTGATAAATACTGTTTTTTCAATCTTTTCCAATAGACAATGAGGGTTTAACCCTGAGTTTAGATAGTTGTTATCCCTCCTCTTTCTTAAATCTTCATTTGATGCATCTATTTATGCCGTGTCTCCACCTTCCACCCTCTCCAAGTGCCATCTCCTTGTTGATATGTTTGTTTTCTTAATATATTCCAGGGTTTTTTCAATCCCAATCTTTGTGCTCATTGATAGTTTAAGGCTAAGTTGGTTCCCATTAAGGCTCCTTTTGAGTTCCATTCTCTCATGCCTATAGTTGCTACAGCTTAGGAGAAGATGCTCAGGTGTTTCTCGTCCCCCACATGTACACCTATCACTGCTTCTTTGCCCTTGCCTATAGAGATAGGAGTTGCTATACCCATGACCAGTTTTAAGTTGAAAAAACGTACTGGCCACTTTTCTTTCTACTCCTGATGGTAGGCCAATTTTATTGCTTATTTTCCAACTGAATACTTTTCTATATGACAGTGGATTTTGTTGCCTTTTTTGATCATTGTTTTGAAGATATTCCAGCCATTATTGCTGGAACCTTTTTTCAATTGTATTTCTTGCCATAGCAAAGCTAGTGTCATTAATTTCTGTTGAAATTTTTGATGCTTCCTTGGCCAATTTATCTGCCACTTCATTTCCTGGGATTTCCGAGTGTCCTGGTATCCAGTGAAGCTGTATTGATGATTGTTTCTGTTGGACATATAGTCCTGATTTTATTGCCCTTAGCTGACAAGCCTGTCCAGGATTGTCTGAGGGTGTTTGGAGTCTTTGGAGAGCTGCTTGATTATCACTAAAGATATGGAAACTCAACCCAGGCTGAGCATGTAGGCTTGCATACTCCATAGCTAGAGTAATTGCCTCCAGTTCTCCATTGTAAACCAGAGCTCCTGGTCCTATGTTGGTTTTGTGTTGATGTTGGATTCTGCCACAGCTCCCAGTAGCTGCAAAGCTTACTCCAACACCAGTGCTTTCTGCCATCCATGAGGCATCGGTGTAGATATAAATATTCGAAGACCAGTCAGTTTGTTGAAGCAAAGATTTGTGTCTCTCTGCTGCTTCATCCTTGGGGATCCTCTCAATTGTTACTGAATAAGGGAGGGCCGGCCTCCATGGTTTGAAATGAAATTGTCTAATTTGCTCCACAGTATCAAAATCAACCAGATTCTGAATGGATTCCATGATCCTACCAAGCTGTGTTGGCTTTGGCAGTTCAAGTTCCTTGTTGGCTTCCATATTTACAGGATGGAGTTTCGAGAGTTTTGCTAGGCGTAATGCATACTGCCTCATGTTTCTACAGAGCCTGACCCTTGGTGGTACTAGGGCAGCTTCTACCTCCATGGGCAGAATTGGAGCTGTCTTGAATACTCCCAGTATCTTTCTTAAGGCCAGGTTCTGTATTTTCTGAAGTGATTTTGCTATATATTCTTGACCCTTCCACCAGATGACAGATCCATAATCTGCTATGCTGGTGACACAGGCAAGGTAAATTTGTCGAAGAGCAGCTGGTGACAAGCCCCTCTCTGTGTTGGCAAGTCTTGCCATCCTGTAGAATGATTGTACAGCCTGAGATGATCTGACCTGGACATGTTTCTTGAATGTCAAGCCAGGGTCAAACCAGATGCCAAGCCATTGCACTGACTCCACAGGCTTAACAATATTGCCATTAGTTAATTTGATTGCAAAATTTTGTGCATTTTTCTTTCTTGTGAAATGCATCAGTTCTGTCTTTGAAAGATCAAACTGGACTGCATTCTTGGTATCCAGCTCAAAGATCTGGGCTGCTTCCCTTTCAAGGATTTTTATATTTTTCTTTAGGCTGGTTGAGGCTGTTGTCAAGGTGATATCATCCATGTAGGAGATAACTTTGACAGCATTTCTTCTGAATAAGCCCTGAATATAGATAAGGAATAGTATTGGTGATACAGGACTCCCCTGAGGAATACCTGTATTGATCTCACTGAATTCCTCCTTTGCTCCATCAAATGACAGCTGTAGGCTTCTTCCCTCTAAGAAAGAACCGACCCAAGCTATAAGATTGACTGGTAATTTTAGTTTCTGCAGTATTTGCAGTAGTTGATTGCGAGCAACATGATCAAATGCCCCCTTGACATCCAGGAATAGGGTTGATGTGATCTTATTAATTTGCTTATTTATTTCTACTTCATTAGTGAGAAGCAGTGCTGCATCTATGGCCGACTTCTTCAATCGGCCTCCAATCTGTGATGGATCCAGCAAGTCTGATTTCTCTGCCAGATACCCTAGCCTCTTGGCCATAATTCTCTCCATGACCTTGCCAAGGCAATTGAGAAGAGAGATGACCCTGTATGCCTTGGGCTGGGAGTAGTCTGGCTTTGATTGCTTTCGAAGTATGATCCCAGTAGCTTGCTTCCAACATTGAGGATGATATCCCAATTTGAAAAGACTGGAATATAGTTGGAAGAAGATATGTGGGATAGCTTGATAAGCTTGGATTATTATTTGATGGCTTATACCATCTGGTCCAGGAGTAGTTCCTTTGATGTTGGTTGAACAAGCTCTTTCTAGCTCTGACCATTCCAATATTGGCCAAGTCCATCTACCTGGCTGGTAGTTATTCCATTCCACTTGATCAGCATGGGGAGGAGGGGGGAAAAGTGCATTTCGAAAAGCCTTGCACTTTCCCTCAAAAGACTCCTTTAACTGGTTATCTGCTGACCTGATGGATGGAACACTGCTTTTTTGTCTGTCCTTGGTGTAGGACATGGTCTTGAATATGGATTTTGCATCCTCTTTTTTGAGGAATTTATTCCAATGACCTTGCTTGGCTACTTTGATTGCAGAGAAGTTATTATTCCTGGCCTCTAAATAAGAAATTTTGGCAAGCAAATCATCCTTATTACACTTAAATATTTTATGTCTTCTTGTCATATCTTTCCTCATCACCTTCAAGTTCTTATTCCACCAGGGCTTTGCTGTATGTTAAAATGATCTTGGAGGCATACATGCCCTTGCAGCCTCACTGATGCAGCTGGTAAGTTCACTTGCTGCCTGGTCTAGCTGATCAATAGTAAAATGAGAGTCTGTCCTTAGGTATTCAATTCCATCAGTATCAGAGAGCGGACTGATGTCATCAAGGGCCAGGAGAACAGTGTTGTTCTTTGTTATTTCTTGTAGAATGGTGGCAAATTTACCCCAGTCTGCTTGATTAATATTAAGTCTTGGTTGACATTGACTTCTGGGCTGGAAACTTGAAAGGGACTCAAGGGTGAACAGGATCCCATAATGATCAGATCCAATGTCAGCCATGATTTGCCAATCCTTGATTCTACTTGCAACATTTGGAGATGCAAAAGGACGACGAGAATATTGAGGTGGAGGAGGTCACGCCTGTGGATATTGTTGGTATGAAATAACATTTGTTATACTAATAAAGACTTGACAAAATTACAATACACATTTCCTTTCATATATACACCATTCAAAGTCCACGAGTGATCCAACCCTGTAGAGCCAACACTAAGGTCTTCTACTCGTGTCCTGAACGGAGCGAGTGATCAGTCTTTCTGCCTCTTCAATATTCGAGGGCCACTATCACGTGACCTGTATCTTCCTCAACACAACATGTCACGCAGACTTCCGGCCCAACTGGTGACCACTAACGGTCAGGTAAATATGTGACCCATACGTTATTTACCCCGTCATAATATTGTAATTGTTAGGTCCCAACACGACGTATGCTATTTTATAATTGGTAGAATGTATGTATTCCAAGGTGAATTGCCCAGATTATTGATGAGAACCGTATTTTCAGATTGATGGTGCTTGTGGTACAGAGGATCGGGCTTGCTCGGGCAGCTTTCAAGTCTCGATGGAAAGCAGCATGCATCACGTGAACATGCACGAGAGGCAGAGCGACCTTTGTCCAACACTTTCTATTGCAAAGAACGAGCGAGCATCACCACATCATAGTGTACGCATCGGTGCACATATTTCCACGAATCTAGAAGCCCATGATTACTGTCCTCTAACTGCGCTTAGCTTCCCATTCATTTCCGTCATGCTGACGTCGAGACTTCCTACAGAGGCGTCGGCGCCGCCAGTCCTCTACGTGCCGGCATCTCACGCCCTCTTCCACGCCCAGTATCCCGCAATAACGCCAGCTGCCCTGGAGGCGCTGCGTACGCGTTGTGCCGCCGCACGGTCCCGCGCTTACTGTCGCTACTCGCACTTCCGCGTCGGCGCTACACTCTTGAGCGCGGCCGGTAACTACTTTGACGGTGCCAACATTGAAAATGCCTCCTTCCCGCTCGGTATTTGTGCCGAACGCGTCGCTCTTTACACTGCAGTCTTTGCCACACGCGGATCCGATGGCAATGGCCCGGCCCGGTTTATCGCCCTCGCCTTGGCGGCGGATTGCGAGACGCCAGTGAGTCCATGTGGTCTGTGCCGGCAAAGGTACGAGCTTCTTCCCTGCCCCCTCACTAGCGCCGGCCTCCTCCCGCAACAGTCTTGGCTAATCTGATGGCCGTGTGCTGCTGGACCCATAGTCTCCGGGAATTTTGCAGCCTCGATATGCCTATTCTCATGTTCAATAAAGATGGCCATTTTATGGTGCAATCTTTGGAACAGGTACGTGTCTCTAATGACGCTTGGATATCCCCTTCACCAACTCGCCATGCGCGAGTACAGCAAAAGGGTCGGGAAGTTGGAGTCAGCATGAAGCTAACTGGCTGCGCCATGTATCTAGCTATTGCCTTTCTCCTTTGGGCCAGAAGCACTCGACCCACGCTCTGCGTCTCGAGCCGGAGAGTCATCGCACATATGATCGATCAGAAGATAGTACTAGTCAAGCTCGTAGCTGTGAATCCTTACTTCATCTCGCATCTCGAGTCATGAGCCTGCATACATCTGTAAAAATCTGTCCCCACAGCCTTAGTGATCCAACATCATCTCCCCAATATAGTAGGGGATCCAAATATATAAATTATTCAATTGTCCTGATTTAGTATCTTAATGCCTGTGCAGGTATTCTCGGAAGATTTGTATTTAAAATAGAATGATATAATTTGACGTTTCGGACACTCACACATAGATTTCATTTGCATGTACTGCTTGAAGTTACCACTTACAGCGTATAACTTCTTCCATGCGCGCTTACCATAGATAAAAGTGTGAAACTAGTGGTTACCGGAGTGTACTTTCGTCAACAAACAAATAAGATAACACCGCGAGAGAACATGGTGTATGGGGCAAGCTGGATATGAATCAGTTTTCTTCTGTCAAATGGGGTTGGGTTTTTACGGAGGGAGAGAGCATACAGTTTAGAAGTCGCGGAACAAGATGTGAAAGATAGAATGTGAACAATAGACATCCTGCAAACCGACGCCCGCCCTTAATCAACGTGGACGAGGACTACTCAAAATGTCTGCCCGGACTAGCTCGACGCTAGTGTCAATAGTAATACCAACCCTCTCCATTCTACCAACATATGCACGTCTGTAGAGCTAGAAAGAGACATAGCATGCAAGCCGCCGTCCCTCCGTGTTCTACGAATACATCTCGATCCGAAGCTCAATTGTGATGCTCACATCAAAAGCATATAGCTCAAAGTCGAACCACAGATACAAGCCTTAGATTGATTGGCACAATCAACTTGGGGTGCAACGGTTCACAAGGCGAAACTTGTGTAGAATGCAGTGGTGAGACCAGCTGTCACCTAGAGATCCCCCATTTGCGCCGAGCCCGGAATGGCCGGCAAAACACCCGAAAAACTAATCAAGCCACTCCGAAGGATACCAAAAAGATGCCTAAAGATCGTGACGGGAGCGTGAAACTCGACCAGCAGCAAGGTACTTGAGCATGAGACCTCTAACTTGGCGATGGAGATTCATCTAAAACCAAAGAGGGTCCAACACGCCGGACTATCGCAAAGCCTACCTGTGCAAGGTATTTAAACTCGACGACATGTAGGATGATTGAGCAACCCCGAGCAGGGAGACAAGGTGCACGAGCTGTCACGAGGACCTTGGACATTTCTGAGTGGAGTCAAATATATGGGGGTATCGATCCCAAGGAACGAAAGAAAGCGGCTGGGAAGGTCGCAGCTTTTCGAGAATGAGAAGGATCCTGGACGAGACTAACGGCCGGGCAGTCCACGAGCCACCACACCACAGCGGATCCTAGGAGGACGAAGGCTGAAAACCTGTCAGTGGTGTCTCCTACGAACCTGGCAGTGAAATATTCTCCCAGAGCCGAGATTCAGTCACGAAAAAGGGTGAATTTGAGAGTTTTCGTCGATCGGGAGGAGTGGTATTGGCTCATTTTTGGTCGAAAATCTGACTAGCAGAGATTTCACGACTGCACAACTCAACGAAATCAATCATCTACACCCCAGATACGAGCCGTAGACAGGCTATAATCTGTTTGATGTTCGTATTACAACAACCGACACCTTCAACATCTTATTTTCTTTTTCTCTGGAAAATCATTCCCAGCCAAGCTCATCTCGCGGCCCTCTCAACAATCATCTCACCACCTACCTAAGCAATCCCGTACCTCCAAAAGCCAAATCGCTAACAAAGAAGCAAGAGGATATCCGACCCTACGCAACTGCCAGTCGCTGTGAAGGTACGGTCGAAATACCGGCCTTAAATGCATCCTCACCTCGGCCAAGGGCACCAACAACTCGACCTGCGACGAATTGCCACCAACGAAATACTTACGACATTTCGCCGGCACACCAACTAGAGCATTCGACAAAGGCTGGGGCACCGGTGCCTCGGTCTTGAGCTCTCAGTCGCGTTTTCGACCTACACGGTTAGGAGTACGGCAGCGACGGGGCAAGGCCGGAGGGGTGGACATTCTACAAAGTTTCTGAAATGACGATATCGGCTGAAGGATAGAGGAATGCTACATGAAGGAACCAAAAGGGAATACAAACTGAGGAGGCCTTAGTGGGCGACTGCATGAGGCCTCTAGTGAAGAAAACGACCCCTAGATGAGATGAGGAGGTACTGAGATGAGCCAAAGCTGGGAATGAAGCGAAGGGAAAAGTTACAGACCGCGGAGGTGTCAAGGGCTCGGGCGCGTGGTGGCCAAGGCTGAGGAGGAATTTGCGCTTCGGCGCGCGAAAAGGGGGTTATCTGGACGGTTGTGCTTGACATGATTCAACACATGGGTGAAGTCTGAGGTAGTCCGGTCATTTAGGTGGGACGAGGTAGATGTACTTAACGGTAGTTAACCTGATCCAACCCGGCCCCACCCGTGCTTAAGCTCCAGGAGGAGTGCATCGGGAATCACTATACCTAGCACGTAAATGAACAAAACAAAACAGCAGATCCTAAAAGCTGGAACACAGCAAATCTCTATGCAGATGAAAAGACGGGAAGAACAATAATGACCTCTCATGGAAAACCCATCAGTATCCACAAAATTCTTAGCAGGGCCCAAAGTAGCATAGCTATGCAGATAAGAAGTGGGCACATTGAGTTCAACTCTTATCTGCACAGAAGACATGTTTCCGGAGTAGACAGCTCACGATGCCAATGTGGATATCAGTCCCAGGATGCCAAGCACATGATCATAGCCTGCCCCAACTGCGCCAAAGGGAGAGGGGAGATTGTTCGGATTAGGTCCTGGTCAACGATGTCTAGCCTAATTGTGCTATGTTGCAGGCTACTGTTACAATTATTCATGAGGTCATCATCAGGGTTGTGAGTAGTTTCGGTTTTGGTGTGGGCTATTAGATTGATACCTGAGCGTGTCACATAGTAGTCAGACATGCGACTCGAGTAGCATATGCACGGTAAACCTCAACCCCAAAATGATGATACGAATCAGGTTTTACATGCTATGTCCTGTATGGCTAGCGTGGTTGGAATATGGGGAATTTACCTGAAGATAGATAAAGACGTTGTAGCCCTTTGATAGTTGGGACAAGTCTTCTACAATATTATATCGGAATCAAATCTAGCCACTCATTAAGCAATCTCTTGAATTATTTCCAATGTCTATGATAACAAACATACATATACAATATCGATAACAAGTTTTAGTGTCGATAAGAGATACTGAGAAAAGCAGAGAGCCGGTAATTCGAAGCGATGCTGAATCTTCCGAAAGATGTGGCTAGAATTACAAAGTGGATACAAAAGGAAGAAAGGTTGGAGCAGTTTCAACTGTAGCTTGAATTCGGAGCCACGATGAGGGAGAGAGAGGTGGGTAGGGAAAATGTGATTTCCTGCCGGTAGCAAGGAAATGGACGGTATCCGCACTGGACATAACAGTATTAGTGCACTTCGTGAAGGTAACACAATATCAAAGTATTAACAAAATTAGAAAATTGAGGAATCCTTACCACATAGGTTTCCTATGTAAATATAAGAGTCCGTTGACACCTGCATGGGCCCAAACGGCGCCAAATCGGGCTAGATGAAATCAAATTCTAAAAAACCCTCTCCATTTCTGGACAGTTGTGTTACTATGACAACTAGACCCCCCACCACTGCTTAGACAAGCTTTCATCCTTTTATTGTGAGACATAAATTAGTCCATGACTCACGTATTCGAGCATCCCAAAATCTACTTAGGAGAACGGCCCGGGTGAGCACTACTGCACCATCCAATCTAGAGAACCTAGATAGTACAGTAGACAAGCAACCACAAGACTGTAAGCTAAGTAGATTTGAAGAATCTTGATCCCATAAATTTACGAACATCAATCCTGTCGCCGTAAGGCTATGCACTGAGAGACTTTGATAGTATCTTGACTGTATCATGCGAATTTTAATGGGCTACCTGTACTGTTAGTCATTTGCCAAGTTACAAAACGATCTAGAACAAGCGTGGCTCGCTGGTATCAATGGCATGACGAAATTTTAAGGATAAATAGTTACATTAACGAGAGGTAGATTTATCACCACAATCATCCCATTAATTTTAACGTCCCAAGAATTTCTGCCTCTACACGATAATTTATTCGCTTTACCCCAAGACAAGTTGCGTCTTGACTATCCCCAAGATTAGTATCACTATTTCTATTTTATACAGCCCCGCTTGCTCAGCTCGCCCCTTAAATCTTTCTTTGCTTGCTCGATAAATGCCACATAAAAAAACACCATCCAAAACAGGTTAAAGTTCGTCATCACTATCATCACCCAACAATTCACCTTCATCGTCATCCACGATAGCATAAGTACCATGACCACGTGAAAAGCTATCTCGAGTGGTAAAGCGAGCACTACGGTTCGCACCCAAAGCTGTACTAGCGCTGCGCCAGAGGCTAGATATGAGGAGAGGAGTAGCTTGGGCAGCAGCAAATACAGCAGAAACTGCAAGAATAGGATACTTCAGATAAGAGTCATCTCTATCAAAGGCTATTTATAACATCAGCTTGAAAGAATATAATTGGATGAAGGGCAAGAAGAATGACTTACATGATTCTCCCAAACGAATAGGGCCTAATTTATGGGCCCAATTCTTCCATACCCACCAGCCTGCTGCACCGGCAATTGCAAACGAAGCTATAACCGCAAAGAAGATACCAACACCTGAGGCACTATGCTTCTTTCTGAACTCTTCTTCCTTTCCGGGACATGGATGCAGTGTACTTTCATCCATTCCTGGATAACCGTTAGTGGTGCATGTATCACCAGGAATTTTGCGATATCCAGTAGGTTCAGAATATTCAATGACCCCTTCTGTAGCGCAAGCAAGTGAATGATCCGGTGGGGTAAAACCTGGAACGAGAGCACAGCTGCCATCTGGTTGGCGTTGATGGTTAAAATCGCTATTAATATTAGTATTGAGGGTGACTGGGAATAACGTAGCGCTCACCATTCATAGTCTTGCCTTGTACAAGTGCAGTTACGGGCAATATCATGAAGATGTGCAATCATTCGACCATTGTAACAGTTTGCACTTGGAGATTTACGGTAGTACTGCGAAACATGACCAAATAAGCAATCGCTACCTTGCATGGGGTGCTTTGGTGTCCATAATTGGTAATCACCCTTGCTAATATTTTGCTCATCTAACTTGCATTGAACGTCTGTTAAGCCGGAGAAATCGATATTAATCGCCATTAACCTGTCATCTTTTGACTTGGCCCATATTAGAAAGTTTCGTGAATTATCGCTTGGGACTGAGGTCAAGTCTAGAACGTCGACTTCGAATTGAGAAAATTCGTAATCAATCCAGCTATCACCATTATCCAGAGAATACAGAACACTTTTAGTCGAGTGGTCGTTGGGGACAATAACAACAATTGACCCTTGATCACCAAACTCCCACAAATGAGATCCCTTTCTCACTGATTTCCAAGTTACGCCTGCGTCTGCCGACATAAATGTATCTGCTTCTTTCCCGAGGAACTCGCCTACATTTCCTGTTCCAAGCATCAAGCCAACAGCGGAAGCAGATGAATAGGTGTGAGATTTATCGAGGCGTTCAGTGTACCCATGAATATTGAGGGAGCATTTTTCTAGTTTTCCCTTGCAAGAGAACTTCTTCTTGTCTGCATCAAGAGCTGGAGGTGACAGATAGGACCACTCCCCACCATCATTATGAGTGATCATTGTTTTGAGCTGCTTACCCTCTTTTTCATAATTTTTGTGTTCAGCGTTCTCGACGACGTTAACCATAGCTACGCCCTCGATACCACTCATCTTTTCGAAGTCTACGTAACCCTTGGTATCTCGATTAACTGCATTTAAAATTAGGAAATAAAAGGTACCATTCGAGTTACTCTTGATTATTGTCCCATGCTCTAGCCCGGGAGAATTATTCACGGTTACATGTAAGAAAGCCGAGTGAGTTGAACTTTCCAGAACGGTGTAGCCGCGTTGATGGTCAACAATAAAGCCATGCGGAAATTGCGCATCAGCAAAATTGTATCCATCAATACTTGCATGTGCGCTCATAGTATTATTTTCTTCGTTTTTTGTTGCAACAATTGTGAATTCCGACATTGTTGCAAAGTCCACAACAGAACTGTAGTGAACTTGCCCGCCTTCGTCGAAAAATTGGTCGCTGGATTTGAGCAACCATGGATTATTCCGGCTGTCTTTCCTCTCTTGCTTGCGAACTTGGCAGTGTATAAGCTTTTCCCTTTTACTGACCTCGTCTTTTGTCGGTGGCTTGGCACGTAGTCGCGTAGAAAATTCTCTCACGAAATCACATTTTCGCACGTAGCGTTGGATGGTGGCCCATTCGTCACCCCGATGGGTTGTCACGGATGCCACAGTGTGACAACTTGTCTCGAATTCGCAATCCTTAGCTCCTAACCATATTATCCAATCTTTATGCTTGGAATGGAAGTTCATAGGCGGATGCCCCTCAGTGTTAGGAGGATATGGTGCCTGGAAACTTCGAATATTTTTGCCACGTTCGGTTGAAAAGTAGACAGTAGTACTTGGTGTAAGGAAAAAAACCATGTCAGTGAAATGAGGATGTTTGATAATTGCAATTATGGGTTCGCCCTGTAATATCTTATTCCATGCCTTCCCATGATCGTGGGAGATCCAGACTCCATCTTCCGTGCGGATGAGTACAGTCTCATCTAGCCCAGAGCTGGTCATGCTGCGTTCCAGATAGACCTGATTAGTAAAAATCTTGCCCGAGAATTCCTTCAAGGTATTACTGATTTTACCCGACGCTCGAGATCCGGAGTATTCGGAACACTTCAAGTCAACCAGATCATCTTTCTGGGGTCCAGTTGCTCGTTGACAATCATTTCCGGGTATCAAACGCCAGCCTGAGGATCCCTTAAACATTTCATCTGGATTTGAGGAATTGCAAGCGCCTTGCGGGAGCATCAAAGCACCGACAAGTTCACACTTATCTCGGTCAAGGCTTCTTACAAAGTTATAGTCGCACTCGAAGTCGGCAACTGTACATTCGCAAGTCTCAAAAAAAGGCTCAGGGTCTTTAAACTCTGACTTGATGAAGCAGTCTGCATCTTTTTTCCGACGCATAAAATATTGTTTATGACCCATTAAGCAAGTAGGCTCCCCTTTTTCGTTTACTCTGGCATACCACTTCTCCATATCACTTTCTCTGCATTTTCCTTCGTGCATATCATTAAAATCAACGGCGACTAGATATCCATGTTCTGCAGGCTGTTTTTCTTCAACGCCCTCGAGCAAGAATTTAAGGCTTGTAGAGTCTCGTGAGGTTGTTAGCTGAATAGGGCGGATCTTCATTTTGTCGGGTAGGGATACAGAGTGCCATTTATTGCCATGATTTAAGGAGTAATGAAGTTCGTCCGCAACGCCCTCTTTGACAGCAACAAGAATAGATCCTTGATCTCCAAACTCGTATTTGTAGGGTCCATCAAGACCTAGTTTCCAGCTTACACCAGCATCGTCAGAGATATAGAGACTACCTTCCATGTAATGCTTTAAATAATTTCCTGTATTTCCAATGCCCATGACTAGCCCAGGCGCGGGACTAGTGAAAACTCTCCCGGAATTTGAGATGTCTGTCACAGAATGAAGATGGAGAGGATGACCGTCGCAGTTTAGATCCATGAAATCTCGACCATCGTCAAAACTCATCTTCGATCTAATGTGCTTTTCCTCATTTGACTTCTCGACAGCTTCAAAATTTTCAACAATATTGAGCATTACTATTCCTTGTATTCCCATGACTTTCTCGAAGTCGACTACACCCCATTCGTTTCGGTTAGTATGCTCAATATTTCGTACAAAGTAGGTGCCATTAGAATTACTTGTAAGGAATACTCCCATTGGTTTCATAGGCCGACCAGAGTTCTGAATGTCGATTTGTATGCTATAATTTGTCCCCTCCAGTACAGTATAAGACTCCTGACGCAGCTTGTGTTCATGTGGAAATACAGCTTTGTGCCACTTTATGGAGTCGTCCGAGACGTAAAGCGACATCTCGTCTGTATTATCAGAAGCTGCTGCTGCAATTAAGTATTTAGTGACTGAGGCCACGTTTATGATACCCTTCACTGTACGTCCAAGCTCAAGTTCCGGCTCCAGTTCATCACCTCCGCTAAAGAAATTATCTGATATAAGGAGCCGATAATCTGTCCTCCAAGGAGAAAACCGACCTCTAGTTACACATATAATTCGGTTGAGATCCATCTTTTTATCTCCAGTAGAGAAGACAGGGTCTGATTTTGCCCAATAGCATCCATCAGTGTCGTCTCGTAAGTATTTTGTGTGCTTGAAATTGTCCGTCGTGTACATAGTCTAAGAATTTATCAGTCTTGCTTTGCACAGTAAGTCATTCACTACGCACTAGTTCGTCACAGAAAATGCCTGAACAGTCCATTCCATTCCAAATTATTCTGTCAGGATCACCTGCATGGAAAGTTAAGGGATCTCGGTATAAACTTGGGAATTTTTCGACGACAAATTTTTGCCACGTCTCCCCACGATCATCAGTTTTCCAATGAAGCTCTTCTGATGTCATCATAAAAGCTCGAGTAGATTTCCACGGATGTAATGTTAGTGATAGAGCAGCACCACGTGGTAAATCTTTCGGCATCTCCCAACTTTCGCCGGCGTTTGTCGAGCGGTACACATTGCTAGAAATAGGGTCGATAAACATGACCACATCTGAATCATCAAAATAGTTAACATTGTAAGGAAGGAACTCAAATTTAGAAGCCGTGAGTCGGGGCTTATCTTTCTTGCCGCATACTGCTGAAAAATTGCTACTTAAAAGCAATGTGGGTAACAGAAGATACCGCCATATACTGTGTGTGTACATTATGTGAGAGCTGAATTGGAGTTTGGTGGCTTCGCCCAAATTAAAGGAGACGTGTGCTCATCAAGTAGCTTCCGTCTTGGATACAGTTTAGTTGTAGATTTGGATAGGAATAGATTTTCAAAACTGGATAAAATGAAGATGCCGCTAATTTCGTTCTAAGCAATGTTGCTTTTAGTTGTTGTCATTGTTGTGCAAGCCCAGATGTAGCTGAAGCAATTGTGAAATTAGTCGAAAGTCGACGTTAGATACCCACAGCATGTAAGGGTGTACAGGCATCCGTATATTTTACCTGCGCAAAAAATGAGCCACCTGTCCCCATGGAATGGATCCCAAGCGAAGATCATACGGAACCTTACACGGCTGTGTCGTACACGTGCACGCCGTTGCAAAGTGTCGTGCCTGCCTCTACATTGAAGTATCTAACCGCATTACAGCGAAGAATATATTAACTTGTGAATTGCGACTACCTTCTAGAAAGTATGATTCATTTTAGCCGATAGCTGGACTTTTAATGCACATGCTGCGCACAAAGGATCGTTCCTTCTCCCTAACAAATAGTTTTAAGATACTCTATTGACAACAATACTGAACTTCTTTTGTATAAATAAGTCTTTCGAAATTTTGTATTTTGTAAATCCTAAAGGTTGGCTAAAATTTAACTAATCGTTTTAGACTACTCAAGGGTACTAGGTTCTATCTTGCGTGCAGTTGACAATGGATAACTATTCTCCAATTGTATAGTACAGAGGAATGATGTAATAAATGTTGCTATGTGGAGTGTTTTCCAGCATGAGTAAGTGCTTCCCAGATTCATGTACAGGGTACTGCATCTTTCATCTATCGTGTCCTCTCGCTCAGAGGAACACTCTCACGCGTGTTCACCAAGTGAACCTGATTCATACTTTATATGCATGCGAAGCGCGACAGTACGCATGCTTACTAGGGTCGAATCAAAGGTAGGCTTTTCCATGTAGAATGGTTGATTAGATTACTTAAGATCTTCTGAGAAGCTTAGACCGCATGGCGTACCATAGCACCTTCATTTGTGGTGGTAATGATGACTTGTGGTCATCCACCCGTATAGCTATTTCCACAGTATGTGTACGTCTGTGTATTTGTCTATTGTGATACTTGAGTACGTGATTATCTAACACATTGGGCTCCTCTGACCTAGGCCATAACTTATACAGTGTTCATATCCGAAGGGCAAGACTGGACACCTGTACGCGGTGTCCTCTACGAACCTGGTAGTGAAATATTTTTCCAGAGCCGAGTTTAGTCAAATTTCGCAATGCCGAGCAAGTTGGCCCACGAAGTAATAATCCAAATACTCCACGTCAATTTTTCACTCACTACGAGATCGACTCATACCTAAGCCTCATCGAGTCTACAAGTACGACCTAGTACATCCTCGTTCCAGTAACCACGCCTCTCGTCGACTATTTTCTGGCCTCAATTGACCACCAAATACAGGCCCACGCCGATGTTTACACCCGACGGAGGAAGCGAAGCGTGGCGCACAACTCTGGGAGACAGTTCTTTGGGATGGACGTGAGATGTATAAGGAAAAGTTGACGAGATGATGCGAAGGAAGGATATAACCTCGAAGGGCATGAATTTGGAATTTCGGCAAGAGTTTTACGAATTGAGCTTTTGGTGCGCCAAGACTTCGCTTGCGAGAGTGCAGCTGACACTATAGACACAAGTCAACGATGGAAGGTGTAGTGGTCTGCCTCCAGGTGGTGTTCTCTGGTATAGTTTGAGTAGCCTGGGTACCTACTCCACTTTGGAAGGAGACGCCTCAGACCATATTTCGCGCGGAGAAAGGTTGAAAGATGATGGAGGCATGTCTGGATAAATCAGGGTTTTTAAGACGTTCCCCTGGGTGGGTATTCACGGATGAGGGTTGACTTTGGGCGAAGAAAAAGCCGCTATAACTTCGCAGTAGTACTTGCAAATGATATCTGAAGCATGAGTGCCCTTGCTTTATGTTAAGTCATCTATCATGTACTTTTTTTTGACATTGTGTCATAGCCAGATAGCTGCATACGCAATAAAATTCTGACGCAAAAAAAAGGAGAAGTCTTGGCACGTATAGTGCTCCTCAAGAATTAGATAGTGAGAGTGTAACAAGGGTGAGGAGAAAATTGCTCTTCGACGTGTTAATTTTGATTTTCTGCACGGTAGGGCTTGACTTGCTCAAAACACAGGTGAGAGACCGAGTGTGTTTCTATTGCACTACTTGAGTCTATGACTGTCTAGCACATTGGGCCCCTTTCTGACTCAGGCCACACCTTGTACAATGCTCCTTGCCTCTCATGTTTCTTCAAAACATGGGTAAATATTAGGCAAGTCCAGTCGTTGAGCTTGGTCGAGGTTGATGTACTTAATGGTAGCCAATCTGATCCAGCCCGGTACCACTCGAGATTAAGCTCCCATAAGATTGCGGAGGTTGCCAAACTCATATCGCATGGATGTTTAAACATACAAATTTAAACGTTCATGGTTTCAATCATTTCTGCTATCTGAATTGGAACATCTTATCTTATCTCCGGAATTCTTCACGCTGCGCTTCGGTCAGGCGGGTTGAAGGGCTAGGAGGGAAAACTTTACGTATGGAGAATCTTTCACAGAACAACCAAAATCACTAATGGATAGTAGAAAAGCCACAATTATGGTTGCAGAATCTCTCGCGACTTCTGCAGGCACTAACATGGAAGACCTTAAGATAATAGGGTTTTATTTGAATATAGTTCGAGACAAACAGGTGATACCAGAATCTAATATTGCTGCGACACAAATGGCAGATGTAGATGAGGCCATCGACGCCCTCAAGTCGCACGCATCTTCACTACGATTGACAATGAGACCGATGGAAGAAAGTTCCCAGACTCCTATTCGAGCGCCTCTGCGCTTACAGCGATGGTCTCAGGGCGTCCAAGAAAGTTTCATGAGCTTTCACGACCTTTTTCAATGACATCGGCACCATTATTGAACAAGTGGCTCGGGCAAGATTGTGAATGCTGATGACTACGACCCGGAGCTTCATCGAGCCGTGGCTGCTCTTGATGCAATCACAGCTATGAACCGTAACCGAGATTGAGAGCAATTTGTCTCCTGCTCGACAATTCCGCAACAGACCAAGCGCCACTGAACGATATATTAGTTTCACTGTTCAAGTGAAATCAAAGTTCTGGAATTTAGCTGTATGAGTAGCTATACCAGTAAGAGTAGGATTGATCCCGAGCCATGTAGGGTTGGCAGGAAATTAAATGGTCGATGATCTTGAACGAAGAGAGCTTGACTCGTTCGCAATCGTGAGTACGACAAATGATTGAATGACCCTAGCCTCTTCTAGACGGAAAGCTAGCGAGCTGTCCAGGCAAATTTTTACGGATTGGTGACAATCGAACCGCCCCAAACACTACGCCGACTTTAACCTAGAGATACGGCACAAGAAATTGCCAGAAATACTGCTCCTGAGAGTGAGCTATCCTCGCCTGATCGCCGCTCGAACTGGACATTGAGACTTTGCGGTATAACATCGCCGCTTCAATCACATCACAGCCGCACTCCATTGCGGTCATGACAGGAAAGACTCAGTTAGTCACGTAGCCCAGTGTAGAAAATAACAGGCAACATGACGGCTAAAAAGCGAAAAGCCTATGGCGACGACTTTGAAAATATGCTCGGGTCAAGCGGATGGCTACTATTCAAGGAGTACCTCCAGGGTGGTAGAATATACGAGGTGTAAAAGTCGAGGCAATGGAGGGGTAATAATGCAAAGAATTTTATGAGATGGGAGCTATTAGTTATGGCAATATAAGTAAAATCTATACGAGTTGAAGCTCAGGCGCGCGGTGGCCGAGGTACAAGGATGAGAGGAAAACGGTTATGTTTTTCTTTTGTAATGCAGGATTTCGCGTGCAAGTGTTTTTTTATCCTTGGCCACTGGACTTATCATGATCCAACACATAGTTAAGTTTCAGCACGGCTCTGATCATTTAGGTGGGACGAGGCATTTGTACTTTCTGGCTGTTAAACTTATCCGACCCAACTCCACTCGTACTTAAGCTCTAGTAGGAGTGTGATGGATGTCACTTTACCTAGCACTTTACTGTACAAACAAACAAACAAACAAACAGATAGAAGATAAGATGTCAGACTCAGAAGGCAATAAAGGAGAGTCTTGACGAGCCAGTCCACAAGACAGCTTCACAATTGATACAAAGAATTAGAAGACTGTCCACACACGCTTCAGTCATAGCACCGCTAGCGACTAAATCAGCGGCTCGAGCACTAGTACAAAGAGTAAATGAATTGCGGCCGACAGAGCTGATCAATAAGTTAAAACTACACATTGATGTGTCATACGCTTTTAGGAAATTACAAAGTCATGATATTGAGGTGATTGTGCAGTCAGTTTTCCAAAGAGACGATGACTTGATGTTTAGGTTGGACCAGAGCTATGAATACGCAGAGGAGCTCGGTTATATTCCATGCAACTATTTTTCCTTTAAAGTATAATTCGCAGGCTGTGTGAAGCAAGGTGAAAACTTTTTGATTCTGTTGAGGCTCAAAATTTAGAAAATATCTTTCAGCCAGAATCATAAGAAAGAAAGAAAGAAAGAAAGAAAGGAAGGAAGGAAGGAAGGAAGAAATAAGACCAATTGCCCATACGGAATTTTGTTTCATTCGATAGATAAGCATTATCTTTTGAATGTTGAGGCAAGGCCGAGAGATTGGAAAGACTGACAAAACTCTTATTTAAAAAAGAAGCTACGTCACATGTTAATGAATACTACAAAAAGGAAGAATATAGAAGATGGAACTGAACATAATATATCTCACAATATTTCAGATAATGTAGCTCATCAATCGTCGTCGGCATTGTCAATTGAAGATCATACCGACATACACAAAAATTATATTAGCGAATCATCAATATCACTAGATCAATACGCGCAGTCGCCCTACATGCTCGCCCTTGCAACTTCACA